TATTGAGTAATTGTGTAATTATTTAATCAAATAATTCCTGAAAGAATACATAAAACCCAAAAAGATATATTTTATATATTTCGGAGATACGGAACATCGCAAACAATTCAGCAACATGGTAATTAGGCTTTTTAAAGGTGGATCAATTCAATTTTATGAGTGTACGGAAAGAATAGTTTTTATTGACGATGAAAATGAACAGAAAGCCGTTATTCTGAAATTTCATCTCGGAAAAACCTGTCACAGAGGTATTCAAGAAACTTTTACTCGCATCAGGCGACACTTCTTTTGGAATAACATGAAAGAAACTATATCAGCAGTAATTAATTCTTGTGAAGCCTGTAAACATATGAAATATGACCGAAAGCCTTTGAAACCATATTTACAGTTAACTCAAAAGCAACATGCCCCATTCCATGAATTATTTATAGATATATTTAGTATCGAAGGAAAAACATACCTCACCTTAGTTTACGCTTTTAGCAAACTAAGACAGGCAATTGAAATTACTATCAAAGGCACACCTGACGTTATCCGCGCACTAATAAAATACTTTTCATTTTACGGCATACCTAAGAAAATAAGCTGCGACTCTGGTACTGAATTCAACAACGATCTATTGAAAGAAATGATGTCACTCTATAAAATCCAAATACATATCGACACACCTAGGAACCCTAATTCAATGGGAATAGTTAAACGTTTTCATTCCACCTTAATTGAAATTTACAGACTGACAAAATACGAACAACAATGTACCGACGCCGCATCTATTATATCACTCATCATGGCATATAATAATGCGATTCATACTGTAACAACTTTAACACCGTTTGAAGTAGTGTTTGGCCATGTAGATTCTGAAAACGCATTCAATATAGACTTCGAGAAACGATACTTGCAAAAATTAATTAAAGATCACGCCAAAAGTATAAAAGTTTTATACAAAATCATATCTGATAAAATGTTAACGTTTAAGGAAAACTCTAGAGAAAAACGCGGTGGCGAATCCGACGTCCCGTTACCAGAAGGGAAAACAATTTTCACAAAATTAATAAACACTCGTAGAAGTAAGTACAAACCTTGTTTTGAAAAGGCCATAGTTACAGGAAAACCTGAAAGAAACACCATCCCTATTAAAATTAGAGGTAAAACACAAAAGGTACCAATTAAAAAAATAAAACGACCTCCAAAGGTGGTGCTTAGTGATCACGATGACACTCACGAGCCCCAGCTTGGGCCTTCAACTTCAAAAGGTTGAAAACAATTCAGGGATCCGTAAGACAGGGAACATCCTTCATCAAACAGGATAACTGACTTATTTTTTAAGGTATTAGATTTGAATGGCCTACTAATGGAATTAGAATATAACAATAGGAAATATAGTAATTTTAGTAAGATAGTAAGTGATGATAAGCCTTAGTTTAAAGAATTTTTAGGAATTAGGGAACAAGTAGAGTATTTGCAAAGAATAACTACTGAAAAGATTAGGCAAATAATCCCTTCACACCGAGTACGAAGAGGAATATTGAACCCTCTAGGCTCTATTATTAAAATGATAACTGGAAACTTAGATCAGGAAGATGCTCAACGATATGAACAGTTAATAAATCAATTAGGTAATCAACAAAATTTCCACAAACAAGCGTTTAACAGTTGTTTTCAAAATGTTAGATGGACTCATTAATTCATCAGAAATATTACACAATAACTCAAAAATTATGGACGAAAGACTAAAACGTGTAGAAAAAAAAAATGTTAAAAGACATAAGTACTAAAGAAAATAATGCAGTATACTCTACATATGTTTTAAGTTTATATAATCTTTTTGTAAGTAATTTTAGAACGCTTTATATAAAAAATAAGCGAATTAGAAATTGCTTTGGCTTTCACCAAAACCAATGTTTTACACATTTATTACAGATTTTAATTTATATATCACAGTCAGAAAATCTTATGTATCCACCCACTTGGGATAATTTAGTTAAATTAGAAGATACGATTAATGTTAAATCATACATGATAGACAGGAAAATAACTTTTGTATTAGAGGCTTTAATAACCAATTCAACTTATAGTAATAAAATGTATCCCTTACCTATCTTTCATGACCCTAAAAACCTAACCTTAATAATCATTCCTAAATATCCCTATATCCTGGTGAAAGGTGTAACATACTTACCGCTTATACAGCCTTGCAACAAGTCTCTGAGGAAAATTATCTCTGCACACAAGAAAACAGGGGCACCGTATCCTGAAACGACATGCATTGAGGAGCTGATGACCTTCAAGGAAAACCCATCCAACTGTGACCAGAATACAGTAATTATAGAAGAGGTAAAGGTACAAAAATATCAACTAATAGATGAATATTATACAGCCGTAATCTAATCATTATTCAAAATAATTGCAAAAATGAGATAAGCCGAAACTCTATAAAGGGAACATAATTAATCATTACTATAGATTAACCCTGCGATCTCAACATCAATAACATCCAATTACATCATCAGCGTTCATATACAGAAAATATGTCATCAGAACGTATCCCATCCATTAAGCTGCTGGAATTACAGTCAACAGTGAACTCTAAGGAAAATCAGAATCCAGTAAACTTACAAGGAATGGAGCTCAGTGACCTGCAACACATGTCTTACATGCTGTAACAACTTAACAGAGAAAGTGATAGTGAAATGGGCAATTCAGTGAAAGTGAAAAGCATTAGTTTAGGCACTCTTTTATTGTATTTTGCTAATTGTTGTGTTTTTTTATAAAAATAAGATTATTAATATGTTGCAGTGGCGAAATAATCAGAATTTGCATGTGCAATCCCCTGATAATTTCGCTCTTAAGGAGGGAGGAGTTATATAATCCCGTGTGTCACCACCATAGGATAATTATATTTTATATAAACAAAAAACCATTGCAACATAGTAGTACAAAGATCCTTTATATTTCAATAGCCGAAATGCTGTTACATGATTTACGAACCACACTTAGTTCTTACTAAGTAACGTTTCCTTGTAGAGCGTGAGAACAATGTGTCAGCACAACGGTCACGTAGGCCTTTAAGAATAGGATATAAATATAATAGAATACTTGTAATATTTAGTATTAAACGGACCTCAAATCGGACCGGTTGTATTCATTTTAACTTTAAGTTTTTAAAAAACCCTTATTTCGCGGACCCACTACTTGACTAGCTATTATATTGCTTTTATTACAAAACAAAAACACACAAAATAAAAATAATCAAAGAAAAAAAAATATTAAATAGAAAATATAAACAAAATCCCTTTTCCCATTCGGTTCATCTCAAGTGTGTAATGCGTGTGTGCTGTGGCTGTAATTGGCCCTGGCTCAGCATTATGTTGAGGAGGAGACTGTTCCACAGCGCTGGTCTCATTGTAGAATGTCCTGTGTTCGGAGCCTCCAGGTGCGATCTCGAGCAACAAATCAATACAAAGGTAACAACCGAGCATTTACCGGATATATTAAAAAACTTCAGATCGCAACTGGAAGATTTCTGCAGTAAGGTAGTGAGATGTGTCACTCGCTGCAACAAGAGCGTAGCAGAGGTGAGACGGGCCCCCACTGGCCCATGAATATAAAATAGAAATATGTGTATTTTTATATATGGATATATATGTATATTAGGAAATCTCTTAGTGTATGTATGTATGTATATGTTTCTACAAAATATATGTACAAAATAAGGTTCTGCACCACAAGAGTCGGGGATAGTGGGAAATTTATATTAAAAAAAAAAAAAAAACAGCGCTGGTCACTCTGCCAGAGACCACATCAGCTAGTTTGCGCCTCAGTCGCAAAATAAAGAATGTAATAATACTTAGTAAAAAAAAAAAAAATTAGTAAAAGTTAGCAGTGTAAGTAATGAAGTCTTGTGTAATGGTGTGTAGTAAATAGCAAATAAAGAATTGTTAAGAAGTAGTTTTTGAAGTCAAACTTTTTTATCGGCGTTAAAATATGACATATAGTATGTTTTTGACTTTGAAGTTTGACAACGGATTACATTTTCGACTTGGAATTTGCTAATCGCAATTTGCAGCAATTAATTTGTAAATTGTATGCTAGGCAGTGTATCAAAATTTACTGTGTTTAAAGAAATAGTTTCTAATAAGGTCGTAAAGAAGTTTCACTTCTTCCGTGTGTACACCTAGTACACGCACACATTTTTATTTATTTGGACGGATTAAAAACTAGATTTCGTGGGATTTTTGTTGAGTCAGTAGATGAATCTTATAGCTGCGACTAAAATTTAACTTTAATTTGCCATAAGCTGTTAAATTTAGACAGCTTTTTTATTTTATTCCGTTCTGTTAGTTTAATGTAAATTAATGAACGTCACATTTGTATATACAGTGGAATCTCGATAACTCAAACTTCGTTAAGTCGAAATCCTTAGATTTACTTAAACTTAAAAAAATGGCCATTCCCTTCCGCTGAATCCCTAAATACGATATCTCGAATTATTTAGACTTTGTAACTCAAACAAGATGTTATTTCCCTACGATATTGATAATACATATTTATACTCGAATATCAAAGTAAAGTGTAAAGTAAAGTGTGGAGTTTCTTGTCCATTCTTCTCCACACGAAACCTTTTGGAAGGGGCAACTAGAATCTTCTTTTTATTTTGTTTGACGTTAAAACTGCCACTTTAGGTGGTCTAATTGAAATAAAGGATTTGACTTTGACTTTGAAAGAGAAGACTCCGTAAGTCATAGTACAGTTTACTTCATTAATAATTCGTTTTAATATGTTGAAAAACTTATGTTGAATTGTTATTCAAGTCAAATAAAAAAATACACTTAGAAATCGCGCCTCTGTAAGTCGAAATTTCAGCAGTTAAATCATATGTATCTCGAAGTTCTCGTTAAGTCGAAATCTCGCTAACTTGATTTTTTCCCGTTCCCTTGACATTCGAGTTATCGAGATTCCACTGTATTTAATTGTAATTCTTTCCACTGCAACATAATATGTTCAAAGCAACGCAAATGAACGTTTTCATGTGAGGAAATTGCACAGGGCACAGACTGTTCACCAATTAAGAAAAAAAACAAGAAACATACGGAAATCCGAGGTCAATAGCTGTGCCACTGGTTTATTTTAGGTCATTGTGAACATACTTATGAACGTAAACAATTGTAACTCGTAATTAACATTTACTGACAGTTGTCAAGGGCGAGAGAAACACGCCAGAAACTCTCCACCACAATAAGATGTAAGGAGCTGAGATAGACATGTCAAAAAAAATCTTTAGGTCTGGGCCTCAGATTTCTAAATCTGTTTCATGATGTAAGTAGGTGATCAGCCTGTGCCACTGTCGCCTTTGTGACTAAGACATGTCGGTTTCCTCACGATGTTTTCTTTAACCGTTCGAGCGAATGTTAAATGCGCACATAGAAAGAAAGTCCATTGGTGCACAGCCGGGTATCGAACCTACGACCCCAAGGGTGAGAGTCGCACGCTGAAGCGTCGAGCTAAAAATTTAGCATGATATAAATATAATCCGCATCAAAGATTGTTATCTGTTCTTTTTTTTCACAAGTATTGCTAAATTAAAATTATATGAAACGTATTCTTTGTTTTGTGTCTCATTTCTTAACCATTCAATCACAATGTGCCACAGCAACGCGTGGCAGGAAACAGCTAGTTTGTAATAAAACATGGACTTATTAATTTATAAAATCTTTTTTGTTACAGAAACGGGCTAAAACTCCGTCAGATGACAGATGGCAGCCATCTTATACAGATTATTTACACCCCAAATGGCGCGATTCAAGATTGTGAATACATCACAGATGCAAAGACAACAAGAAACTTTTTGAAAACACTACGTAGAGAATTGAAACTGGCATTAGACGAGGAAGCATTCAGAATAACTGAAAAAAGAAAAAATGTCACGGAAGACGAACGGTTTTACCGCCATTTTGGGAACATGACGTTTCGACTTTTGACAGATGGCGAAATGTTGCCGTCTGACATCGCGTCTTGGTTGGATTATGACAGATTAAAAATGGAATGTTTTGAGCGGCACGAAGAGTTAAAATACATGATGGAGAATAAAAATAAATACTCGGAACCGGCGCTAGCGAGGTAATGAAAATGTTTGTATTTCTCTAAAACCATTGATCTCTTCCGCATTGTGACTAATTTCACATCGCTTTTCATGTGACCGCCAACTTTTATGTCTCTTTATCTTCTGGAATATCTCTTCTTCAACAAATGTAGGAATTTATGTTTAAACCTTAAACTTTCATTCTACTTTAAGGTAAACATTTTCTCGCTAAAAGAAATTAAATGACAACTCTACCGCAAAAACCAACCGACAACCATAATAAGTATCGCGGAAAAGTAAGTTGTACTACTATTTTATGGCAATACAGCATGAGATTTCAAATCTAATCTATGATTATGGGATTTACTTATTACAGCTATCTGTATCATTCATTCATATCTCTATGGTTGAAAATAGCGATAAATAAACATTTCATTTATATATTTAAAAATAACTTATGAAGATTTTGAGTTCATTTAATATTAAATTATAAACATTGTTTATATATTATGATTCATTTTGCATAAAACCATGATCCGTCAAGCATGGCCTTCATCATAAGTTGAAAACTTTCACGAGAAAGGGTTTCTCAAATATTTACAATTCATTTACATTTTACATAACATAATAATTAATATGCTATATATATTTTATTTGTGGTGCTTTCCATAATTTCTCCATTAAAATATATTTGAGATTCCCTTATGTCATCCGTCAAATTGACATTCACCGCACGTTCCCGCCATTTTAATCATAGACAAATGACAGGTCACGGCGTTCATTTCGGGAGAATTTTATAATGCCCGGAACGAAATGGTGCGGTGCCGGTCAATTGGCTAGCACCTACAACGAATTGGGCCAAGATAGGAACGAGGACAGATGCTGTAGGGCCCACGATAACTGTCGAGTCAACATAGGGGCATTTAAAAGAAGATTTGGATTGTTCAACTATAGGCCGTATACGATTTCACACTGCAAATGCGATAGGAGGTTAGTTTTTTTATATATGGGTTTTTGGTCTTTGGGTTTGGTTTGTGGGTTACCTGTTTAGTCGGCATTCGTAGTTTTTGACAGTTAGCAGCTCAATCAGAGTTGTGGGAATAAATAGCAGTTGACAATTGACAATTGATTTGTTTGTTTTGGGAACCGCTTTTGCTGTATATTTTGCTAAACTCTGGGGTTCAACGGGATGATACCATTTTGTCCGCTTTGTGGTTTTCGTGTACATTTATGGGTTATATATACTATGTTGACTACGTGTTTAAAATGATATAAAGCAAGATGGGGACATAGGTCTGTGGACACGGCAGTGCGTCCGCCAAGTCCACCAAAAAACCCACTAAGAAACACTGAAATTCAAATTCCAAACAATTAAAAAAAAATCGAATAGCCCGCTTAACAATGAAATTGCCCCCCTGTGGGGCATGGGCTCTACGTTGGGACACACTGGGTTATATAGTTACGTAATACCTTCGATGGCTGAGGAGTTTGAATAGCAGAGGGAGTGTAAAACCAGCCCCACAGTCTCCGCGTCATCCGTAAACGCATTTCCACTTCATTAAAAAAAGAATAATTATGTAATAACTTAGACAGAAGGTCCCTTAAATAGGGATGGAATATATTGACCGACGTGGTATTACATGGATCTCACTTTTTACTATAAAAGAACTTCGTTGCGAGGTTTTCATGGCATCTTTATTACGTCAACATAACGTCTATGATATAACGAATATATAATGAATAACAGAGCATAAAAGAAATATAGACTACAGACTCATTTATAGACACAACTTTGGTCCGTCAAATTAAGTTCCCGTAATTAATTAAACTCTAAAACGGTTCGTTCAAAAATATTTTTTTTTGATTCATTAGAGTAGCTCTCATAACGTAACTACTTCAATTCCAAAAAGTTATCAGTAAAAATGTCGGTAGTACATCGTCACCAAAACTATGGACAGACACCGGTGGAAACAGATCCGCTCCAGATGCTTCCTTGCTTACCACGACCGTCAAACATGAGCTGCCGATTTAAGAGAGAGAGAGATTCAGTTACGATTTTATTACAATAAAACGGTAGCGGATTTAAAAGAAAGAAACGTGCGACTTTAATAATAATAATATTGTCAAAGATTTTGGACACCATTTTGAATTATGGCAACTATTTATAGCGCTATTATCTGTTAATCTGTACGTCAAAAATGTCATCTGTCATGTGTCATCGCGCTCTCATTTCCGAATCTAACCCTAAGTTTTACCATTTTTACGTGAGCTTGACGAGTTTGGGTCAAATCTGGTAATTGAAAATTGACCCCCTTCTGTTGACTGATCTGATCTCAAATTTGGTACTCAGCTTTAGTTCTGATAACAATATAATATATACATTGTAAGGCGCAAATTCGGCCCCACATGGAGTTCTCTCCTCTGGGTGGAAGCTCCCTAGTACCACCTCCTTCCGCTTGAACTATTCAACGAAGACCGATTCGAATCGTCAACGACCAGCCACATTCCATGCAGCTTGATCTTGATCTTGATTGATTGAGATGTGGGGTCTCTCTGCATCTTCTTCCGGATTTACCATGGAGAGTGTTCAGAGGAGTTGTTCGGACTAATACCTGAATTTCAACATCGGACGTCAAGGCAGAATACCATCCGTATCACCTCGACGTCCGTCGTTCCACAACTGAACGTTTCTTAAGGCAGTTTTTGCCGCGCACCACCACTATGTGGAATCAGCTGCCCACAGTACTTCCGAACCAATTCGACTTAGGGTCCAACGATATAGGTTATTTATCACATAATTACTCTATATGGGTATCAAATGAAAGGCCCTGATTAGTAGAATAGAATTCTCTATGAAAATCCAATATGGCCGCCAACAAAATGGTAGGTTAATTATTTTTTCACAACCCCTTCGGAATGAAAAAAAAGTACGTGCGTAAATAAATACACACGTCAGAAGTGAAACTTCTTTTAATTCTTATTTGGCTAACTAATTTTTGTGTCGAAAATTATTACAAATTATAAATAAGTTTTTTAATTAATTTCTTCGATAATAAAAACACGTGGCAATTTAATTTACAATTCGTCATTCGAGATTTGAATAAATTATTTTGCATTAAATATAAAATACTAATATTTCATAAATTCTCTTTACGAAATTTTAATTTTAAAATGTAATTTCTATAAGATAATTCGCCCTTCTCTCTCTCTCTCACTCAATCGCTCTCTCCCTTTTCTTCGACAAAAACGCTGCACATCTTCGTGAATATCCGTATATTTTTTACCCTTGTGCGCCTAAAGAAGTTTCACATCAAAATACCTGGTCTGTTGGCTACCATTACGCCGGAACACCCCCTCCCGTTTCCGCATCGTGTGTAAAAACCAAAATCGAAAATTGTCACCTTCATTGACTGACACCGATTAAGAGTAATCACTACATGTTATCGTAATTAACCTCGTGTTTGCTTGTACACTTAAAATAATATTTATTAAAAAAGTCAAAATTCAGAAATCATTTATTCCGATAGGTAACACAATGTACACTTATGAATATATAAGATAAATAATTTCTAAATTTACATTTACCACCAGTTCGCAAGTCAAGAGCGTAGGGCGGGCGAGAAGAACTGGCAAGAAACTCTTCACCACTCTTTTTAATCGCCAAGTTTTGAGTCATACAAATTCTATGAACTGGAAAAAATCAATCATTTAAATAATCGTCAAATTTATAAAAAGCTTTATTGATTAATTTACGTTTAACGAGGGCTTTGAATTTATTCAGTGATAATTCTCTAATTTCGCTTGGAAGTTTGTTGTAAAAACGAATACAATTTCCATAAAAATGATTTACCTTCCGGAGCCTGGTTGGTCGTACGCTTAGATTAGTTCTGTTTCGAGTATTACTGGTGAAAGTCACCATTTGTTTTGAAAATGAAAATAAAGATTATTAATGATAATAAATTCGCCCGGACGATTTAAGACAAAAAATTCATCTTAAAGTATTTAAATTAAACAATCTAACATGCAAAATAAAGAGACATAAAATTTGACAAAACAATCGGAAGAGATAAAGTGTCACGCACATGAGTGAAATGTCAAACGTCAACAGAAAAAAGCGCGACGCGATGGACATACTGCGGGTGCCCGGCACAAAGTGGTGCGGCAAGGGCTTTTCGGCAACGCATTACTCGCAGTTAGGAGGCTATACGCGCACAGATAGATGTTGTAGGATCCATGATCTGAGGTGTCCGTTCTGGATTGGGGGGATGGAGAAAAAATACGGCCTTTACAATTGGAGAGTCAATACACTGATGCATTGTCGGTGCGATGAAAGGTTCGTACATTTTTTATATATAAGCTGTGCTAGAATATTTTGTGTGGTTTGCACCTGCTTACATGTAACGCTGACAAATGACAGTCGAACGGTTTGACAAATGGCATTCTTCTTTTACTCATTTCCCTTATAATTTATTGTAATTATTTATTTTTGTCCTGGTCTTGTATGTTCTATGTGTGGGGCTATGTGTACTTGTAAATTTATGGTTATGGTTTCTCTTGTGAGAACAGGCTACTAGGTAACTAAAGCATATGAATAAAAAATATTATTTTATCAACCAAAATAAAAATAGATAAATAGAAAATTAAACTTATTTAAAAAAAGTGTGTGTACTTATGTACACGCGTTAGCAGTTATACTTCTTTGGAACAACATAGTTGGAATCAACAGAAGCAATAATTAAAAATTATACATACCGACAATTAACCTCAAATCTATAAATTCACTCAAAACAGTTTATTCAAATCAGTTTTATCACTAATATTCAATATATATAGTTTTTTTTTTTTTTTAAACAATTCACACCAATTGACCTAGTCCCATGCTAAGCTGGTGAAGCTTGTGTTATGGGTACTAGGCAACGGATATACATACATATTATAGATAGATAGACATATAAATACATATTTAAACACCCAAGACCTAAGCAGAACACCAAATGCTCATCACATCGATGTTTGTCTCAGCCGGGGATCGAACCCGGGACCCATGGATTCGCAGTCAGGGGTACTAACCACTAGACCAATGAGTCGTCAAAGATATACACACTGTTTAATTGTACTGTTACGAAACACGTGTTCTAAATATAAAAATAATAGAATATACAACTTTAACATAGTTATTATCGATTTTCATGCCACCTAGAACTAACTTTACGATGTAGAATTTAGGTGTCGATGTGCGCGCGCATCGCAATAATTCACTCTCATCATTTTTCTCCATCGCGCCAAAAGAAGTATATCTTCAAAAGTTTCGTCCCGTACCTTTAATTTAATTTCCTCGATATATTGCGATACTTTAAGGAAAGCACAGTAAATGGTTAATCAGTCATAATTGTTTAATTATATTATACAGTGATATAGTTTATGACATTGAAGGTAATCTCTGGATCTACTAAAGCTTTGAAAATCCTTTTTTGTGGTGGATATTTTTGTGTTTCAGTCTTATGAACGCTGTGATTATATGATATGATTGAGACCTAGAAGAAAGTTATAAAAACAAGTCCAACTCAAAAACTACTGCAATTTATTGCGGCTTACAAATATCTATCACTTCGGGGTCACCAATCTGCCGTTATATTATATATGTCGCAGCCAACTAGCTTTATTAGCCGTTCAATTTACAGCCTAGCCTCTTAATTAAACATCGCCGTTTAACTAACGGCCTGAAAGATATTGGGCCAGTTGATCAAACAGCTAGGCAATTTACTTGGATCGATGACGTTTCATTACTTGCCTAGTCTGTTGACTGTTAATTTAAATTTAAAAATTAAATAGCTTAATAATTTAAATTTAAAAATTAAAAAGCGTCAGTCACAGCTAAATACACATTATTATTGTCACTACACTCTTCCATTGTACTTGTTGTTTTTCAATAAACGGTGGAAAACATCACAGTTGTGGTTTGCCGACGCCATATTGACAGTTTGAATAGTTTCGTTTCGAGTTCGAGAGTGGCAGAAAGTGGATTTCAATTTAAATTAACAGTCAACAGGC